AAGAAAGAAAAATAAATAACGCTCAGTTCAGGTGTTTTATAAAAACATGTGAATCAGGAAATTGTCTATATACCAAACCGAATGATTGTTGTTTTCTACTTTAAAAAACAATAGAACTTGGACATAGATTTTTTTATATGGCTTGTTGTTGTAAAAATTAGACAAAATCAAAAACAAATTGATTTCCATCGGCACAGTATGATTATTTAAATGATTCCATGTAGTAATTTATTAATTTCTCTAAAATATGCAACACCTTTAATGTTTGACTTAGAAAGTGTCATTTGGGGCTTAGGTTTCTGATCAACTCTGACCTCAACATCCAATATGGCTGCCTTGCACAAATGATATTGATTGGTCCAGTAAATAACTAAATTAAGCTATTGCTTTGTTCATTTGTCTGTATCTTATCACATAGTTTCTTAATGTTCATGGCTCTCTTTAGTGAACGTATTGTTTCAAAGTTTGATTCCAAAAGATGCTGTTTCATTGCAATTTGAAAGATATACAAAGCAAAATACTATTTTGGATTAATTAATATTATCGGAAGCCCACTTAAGGCATAAGTGTAAAAAAAATTAACATAATCAGTAACAGTTTGACATTTGTCTTAAATATGGCAAAATTTACAAGCAAATTAGCCTATTTACAAAACCATTAGTGGAAAAATAATGCTTGATATCCTTGATGGATTTAGATACCTTTTTATTTTATGTTGAAGTTTTATCGAAGGCCTAAATTTGTAGATATACAAAACTCGAACAGTGGTTTTGGGATTTTTCTTTCTTCCAAGTCCAACTTTTTTGGTTGATATAAAATAACTTTTTTGCTGCCAGAGACAACAGTCAGATATCAGTTGGAAAAAGCAGGACGAAAATGCTTATATTGAATCTTTTTGACATGTTTGTAGTTCCTCTAATCAGTGGTGGTCTTTATGCAATGATTTTTGCTTCATTGAGCCTTTTAATCTACTTTAGTATTTTTTTTTTCTTAATTTTATTATGATATTTAAGTTTGTCCTTGTTAGGCTTTATTGTTTAATTGAGAATTTTATGTTTTGGTATTGCCTTAGAATTGTTATTGGTTTTGCTTTTCAGGTCTTATTAATTTTCTCCTGTTCACACTAGTTAGATGTGTTCTCTTGCTCCCTGGTCTGTTTTCTATAATTTATCTTATATCAGTTTCTTTCATGTCTGGTTTCATTTTGCTGTGGTTTTGCTGTAGCTCTGTAATGACTGGATTGTTTCTTTTTCCATATAATCAGTTCAATCACATTTAATTGATGCCTTTCTTGCCACAAATTTTCCCAGTAAGTCCACCTTTAATCAGCCTGTGCTTCACTCATGTAAACCCACCTGAATACCTGCCAGTTGTGTTTTACTCTTTAGATCTCATCTGTCTGTAAGCTTTTTTTCTCCTTTATCAAACTTTTATTCTCCTTACTGTTCTGCCTCCATCTGCCTGTCTGCATATTGCTCAAGTAATTTAACATTTTAAGATATTGCACATATTTGTTGTTGTGGTATTTATGGCCTGCACTCCTCAGCATAGGGGTTGGGGAGTGGTTTGCTTTTCCTGTTTGCCTGCCTCATAGGCAAAACAGTCTGACAAACAACTGTTTTGCCTTTCTAAATTAGAGTCTCTACCTCAGACATGTGTCGAGTTACGGGTAATTTCTACTTCCAGCACCAGCTCTCTGTTTCGATGGTTGGGTATTATTTCCCATATATGCCACAAAGGAGGGGGAGGGGAGTGTGATATTATATCCAAGTTTAGAATGAAAATGGTTCAGTCTATATAGGCTCTAGAGTATCTTGTTAAGGTAATGGTGTCTTTGACAACCCGAGCACAAAATGCAGTTATACATGAGAATTATCATGTATTGCTAATAGCAGTTACCTTGTTTAATTAGCAAATCAAATTGGTTTTTGACCTTAAAACTGAAATATAGCGAGTTTTGGGTTATATTCTATTATTACACCCAAGTTTTTACTTCTCAGTTAAATACAAAACAACATAAGGGGATCCTCTGCTTTTATTCTCCGTCAGCCATTTTCTTATTCTGCTCATGTTACACCTTTGTTCAATTTTCTGAGCCTTATTTCA